CTTTCCTTTCCTTTCCTTTTCTTTCCTTTTTCTTTCCTTTCCTTTCCTTTCTTTTCCTTTCCTTTGAGCCAAGGTTTCTCTGTGTAGCCTTGGCTATCCTGGAACTTGCTCTGTAGACCACATTGGCCTGAAACCCAGAGATCTATCCATCTCTGCTTCCCTAGTGCCCCTTTATTATTTTTTAATTAAAATTTTTTTCATCTGGTTTTGATTCCAACTTGAAATATAGAGGTTTTGTCAGTGATTTTACTTTTACTTTTATAAAATAAAATATTTTATTTTGGGGAGTTTCTCTTCAGTTTAGTTAGACACTTATAATCTGTCATATATCCTCTGCTTGCTTTTCTTTGCTAAAAGATTCTGGTTTCATTTGGGGTCTAAGTGTCTGGCCCCAAGGAATTATTTATGTCTGCTCTAACTCCATCATGAATTCTGTTATTCCCTTGCTACCTGCTTGATTCCTAGACTCCTTTGAGCTAGGAGTAGTCTGAGCCCAGTTCTGGCCAGTGAGACAAATGAGAGGTGTTGACTTACCAGGTAAGAGAGGCAAATTTGTATTTTCTTGAGGCAAAGCCAAGGGAATGTTGGTGGTGTCAATTACCTACTTTTAGTATTCTGATTAAGCTAACAGAATTTTCTATGGTTTAATCACAGGATCAGAAAAAAAAATTCATCCTGTTTTCCTTTTATTTCTTTTTGTTTGGCCTTAGGCTAGCTTCAGAGAGAAGATGGTGGGAGCTGGGAGGGCCTAATGTAATCATTGGAGTTGATTATTGGAGGCGTGATCTTTAAGAAAACATTAGGATACGCCCCTTCTCTCTTTTTGCTTCGTATCATGTAATCTGAGACAATTTGACTCACCACATGTTTCTGCCATGATGTTTTGCCTTGCCACAGGTGCTTGGCCAAGTGAACACAGCCTGAAACCTCTGGAATTGACAGCTAAAATAGGCTTTCTCCTTTGAGTTGATTTTATCTCAACTCAGAGCTGACTATCACATTAACTAAATTCTTTGAATTCATGACCATGATGACCAGGAAAATAAAGCAAAAATAAAAACAACAACAAAAAGTATTTCAATCCAATGCCAGTAACCCCACCAGCTGGGTTTAAGTACTGTGTTTTGTTCACATCAGCCAGTAAGCGGTGCTCTATCCTGAGAACCCACCTGTTTGGTGTAAATAACAAACCACTGCTGGCGACTGTCTTCACTGTACTGAAATCTCAGCTCTAAGTTCTGGTTGAGAGTTCGATGGGGCCCATCTGTATCCAGCAGAGTTCCCTACGGTAGAAAAGATATCATCAAAGTGTCTTGGAATACACTGGGTGTTATATCAACAAAGCAACAATTCCCCAAAGGCTGTCAGTCTCCCAAGGAGCCATGAAAGTAACTCAGTACAGTGTGATATAGGGAGTGTTATTAAGCGGGCAAGTACAGGTCTATGAGAAGAAACAGACTAGACTGGGAAACAGCCAGGGCTAGGAGAATAAAGGAAGGCTTCCTGGAAGGAGGGGTCTGTGAGCAGAAGTAGAAGCTGTTTTGTTTGGGGGTTTGTTTTTGTTTTTAAAGAGGGGAAGGTAAATGGTAATTCCTGGTAGAAGAATGAGTCAGATCGCCGAGGCATGAGAGAGGCTGGGAGGTTAGAGACACTGTGAGGAATCAGTATGTCTGTGGCTTGGGCTCCAAGCAAGAGGGTGGGTGAGGAGGAGGCCTAGGGAGTCAGGAGAGAGGAGGATTCTGAAGGCTGTGGGTTTTGTATACAGCATCTATCCCTGTTTTTCCTAGAAATGGAGACTCAGGGTCTCTTAGAAAAGCCACCCTCTTCCACCATCGTCTAGCTATGTAGAACCCTCAGAAAAGGATATCAGAGGGACACATATGGTTAAGCTTAGGTCAACTAGACACACACTGTATATCTTCATTTGACTCCAGAATTGAGATGCCCTAGTAGAAGGTCCTCACAGAGTCTTTGCCTGGAAACCCAAGCTCTTTGGCTCCTGACATTAAGCCTCTGCTTCCCTTTTCCTTTGGACATGTGAGTAACCAGTACTCATCCTTCCCAAGTCCATTGGTTTACTAGAATTAGATGTGTAGGCTTCTAGAGCTTGCTATAAAGAGCTTGACTTGTGGCTTTATAAACAAAGCTGAGGATTCCAGACTTCATCCTGAGGACAGGAGACATCCCTAAGATATTTGGGAAAGCTAGATGATAACGCAGTTTGATTTATATCCTAGGAATATTAATCTCACAGCTTCCGTGTGAAGAACAAACTGGACAATAGCTGTTTTCAGGGATACAAGAGATAATACTGCAGAGAAAGGAATGAAGTGAGCCCCACAATTACCCTGACCCTACAGAAGCCCAGGGTGAGAGGACCCAAAAGAAGATAGAGACCCTGCTGATGAAAGAAGTATTAAGTATGAAGTTGAGATTAGAGTTTGTGGGCAGAACACCATGAGGCTCCTGGAAAGTGTTTGGTTGAACAGTGATCCATGCACACGTGGTGTGAATCCCTGAACCTAGTCCTAAATCTCCAAGATGAAGCATACAGAGAAGGAAGAGAAGGAGAAGGTAGAGAAGGGGAAGGGAGAGGAAGAGGAGGAGAAACAAAGAAAACCATGAGACATCACTGCACATCTTTTAGGTTAGCTATAATTCTTAAACTCAGATTATAAATAAGTACTGGCAAGGCTGAGGAGAAAGCAGGGCCTTCAGACACAGTTGACAGAGACATAAACTGGTACAGCTGCTTCGGTAAGCAGGCTGGCACATACTCCACTATTTGACCCAGTAATTCTGCTCTTAGAGACACACCCAAGAGAACTAAAAAACTTAAAAAAAAAATCCTACCTAGATTCAGTATACTAATGTCCACAGTGGCATAATTCATTTCCAGCAACAGATAGAACCAACCCAAACATCCATCAACAGATAAATGGGTCAAATGAGGTATAGACATACAGGGAAACATTCATCCATAAAAAGCAAGAATAAAGGTCAACCTTAGACCTTAGGCACTAAGTAAAAAGCTAGTCAAAGGGCCATATTTTATTGCCATATATTGCTTTTAATAGGAAATTTCCAGAACAGGCAAAGGTAGTCCATAGCGAAAGAAAGTCTGCAATCAGTTGCTTAAGGCTGGTGGAAACTATGAATGGGATGAACACAACTAAAAGGTATGTGGCTTCTTTTTGAAATGATAAATGAAGTTGATGGTGTGGTAGCTGGAGAACTCAGAACACTGCCCAAAGTCTATCAAATTTGAGCCACAAAATAAATTTTCACAAGTTTGAAAGTAATAAAATCACATAACATATTTTCTTTGATCCTAGAGGGCTGAAAGACTAAGGAAGGGAAGGAAGATTAGGAGTTGGTCCCATTCATTGTGCATGGATATGGAGAAGGAGCCATGAGGGAAAGAGAGAGTTATAAGGGTATCAAGATGGCAGGTGGGATAGTTCTCTGTCAGCAACGAAACATGTAGGAAGAGTAGAAAGAAAGTCAGAGGTAATTTCTCTGTGTGTGGTGTGGAAGTTAGGGGGTGGAGGACCCATCTGCCAAGATAGCAAGCACAGGAGGAAGTGCAGATGAGTGTAAGGATGAGAGGCCAAGTCTACGGTGGGAAACACAAGTCCGCAGTATCCCTGAAACAGAGGAAGGAAGCCAGCGGTGGGAGAGACACTGAGCCATGGAGAGACAGGGATAGCTATCTGACTTCAGAGACTGTATAAAGATGCTAGAATGGAACCTTGGGACATATCAGGCAGGCTTCAGAAAGCCATTGCATAAGAGAGGAAACACAGAAGGCTTTAAGACCTGGAGAAGACAGAAGCTCCACAAGGAGTGCAACAGATCCAAAAAGTCTGAGCACAGGGGTCTTTTCTGATACTGATACTCCAACCAAGGACCATTCATGGAGATGGCCTGGAACCCCTGCACAGAGGTGGCCCATGGCAGTTCAGTGTCCAAGTGGGTTCCATGGTAATGGGAACAGGGACTGTCTCTGACAGGAACTGATTGGCCTGCTCTTGGAACACCTCCCCCTGAGGGGAGGAGCAGCCTTACCAGGCCACAGAGGAAGACAGTGCAGCCACTCCTGATGAGCCCTGATAGACTAGGATCAGAGGGAAGGAGAGGAGGACCTCCCTTATCAGTGGACCAGGGGAGGGGTATGGTTGGGAAAGAGTGAGGGAGGGTAGAATTGGGAGGGGAGGAGGGAGGGTGGTACAGGGGAATACAAAGTGAATAAATTGTAATTAATAAAAATAAAAATAATTTTAAAAATGGACCAGATATGGCTCAGTGGGCACAGGTGCTTACAGTGCAAGCCTGGTGACCTGAGTTCAATGCCTGGAACCCATGTAAAAGTAAGAGAGAACAGACTTCATGAAGTTGTCTCCTGACTTCCACATGTGACCTGTGACGGCCCCTATACAACCTCTCTCCTCTCTTTCTCTTTGTCTCTCCCTCTCTCTCTCTCTCTCTCTCTCTCTCTCTCTCTCACACACACACACACACACACACACTTAACAATTTTTTTAAGATTTATTCATTTTAGTTATACAGTATCCTGCCTGCATGTGTGCCTGCATGCCAGAAGAGGGCACCAGATCTCATTAGAGATGTTTGTGAGCCACCATGTGGTTGCTGGGAATTGAACTCCAGACCTTTGGAAGAACAGCCAGTGCTCTTAACCTCTGAGCCATCTCTCCAGCCCCTACTTAACAATTTTTAAAGGAAAGAATGTTCGGCATTATTTAATGCCTGAAAAGGCGTGAGCATTAGGCCCAGGGCATGTTGCTGTAGCTTTCATGATTTGGCAGCTTTTGCCTTCTACCAGCATTTTGTACACACAGGACAAACACAGTTGGTCACTGAGCACTTGACAGAATTCAACTAAGAGATGTGGCAGTACTCAGTGCAGTAGCTGGTACATCAGGAAATCTGGTGCTGAAGATTTGTAGCTTGAAGGACAAACACAGCCAAGACTCCTTCAGAAGGGCTCTACTGGGCAGTGTCCCATTTCTTAGTGACACTAAGCACATAGCAGGTGCTCAATAAGTGATCACTATTGTCACCTCTAGGCTATGACTCTGATCACCTTTCAAGCCACAAGAAGGCCTGTGAAAAGGTGAGAAGATTGACAGGTGTCTCTCATGCTCTGGGCAGGGAGTCTGCCCTGACCATAGGCAGGTCCTACCACCTAAGATGTCTGTCCACCCAAGGTACTGATTCAGCCACAAGCCTGTCTCCCCAGCCCCAACGGTAACATTCAAGAGTAACGAGGTTTTCATATCACAGGAGGAGACTTTGGTTTATTTTTTGTTTTTTTTTTTAAAAAACAGGGTTTCCTCTGTGTGGCCCTTGCTGTTCTTGAACTCACTTTGTAGATCAGGCTGCCCTCAAACTCAGACCTCTGCCTACCTCTGCCTCCTGAGTGCTGGGACTAAAGGCTTGCACCACCACCCACCACAGGAGGAGACTTTATAGACAAACAAGGTGCCAGATACTCACAAGGAAAGTGACCTGCCAGCACTTTACTCTGCTCATCTGGAAAGCTATGTCCTGGGTCCGGCCATCAGGCAGGGTTATACAGCAGCTGATTTCGTTATTGCCAATGGAAAGCACAGCTGCACAGCCAGGTTCTGGATGGTTGCAGGTACAGGGATCCAGTTGAATGTACCCATAGTGCCGGACCTCCTGGGACAGCTCCAAAAACTGTTCCAATGTGAGGTGGGAGTAGAAGGAAGCAAGAGAGCACTCTTCACAGATATAGAGCTCACCGGGGGCTGCTGTACTATGCTGGCAAAACCCACAGGATGGGCTCAGAGCCAACACCCACCCCCAGTTCTAGAACATACAAATCAGGCCCCTAGTATGGACAGTAATCCCTCGCAAGATCACTGTGCTTCTCCATGGCAGGAGCAAGTCCTACTCCCCCCACCCCCAACAACTCTGCCCCTGCTCCCTTGGATCCCTTGGATCCAAAACACTCAAGAAATGAACAAAGGATAGAGTTGAGAAAACAAAAGAGTAGATGTGATTCTATCTCATTTAGAAGTGTTTTGCCTGCTTGCATGTTTGGGCACCATGTGTGTACCTATGGAGGTCAGAAGAGGACATCAGATCTCCTGGGAGAGCTGTGGACGATTGTGAACCAGCATGCAACTGCTAAGGACCAAACCTCAGTCCTATGCAAGACAGGACCGCTGAGCCATCTTTCACCGTAACTCTTAACTCTTTTTTATTATGAAATAAGAGGCAAACCACTTGCCTGTATGTGTGAGACCTGAGCTCACTGAAGGAAAAAAAAAAAAAAAAAAAAAGGAAGGAGGAAGGAAATTATTTTTTTTAAAGATTTATTTATTTTAGGTATATGAATGTTCTATCTGCATTCACACCTACCAGAAGAGGGAATCAGTTCACATTATGGATGGTTGTGAGCCACCATGTGGTTGCTGGGAATTGAACTCATGACCTTTGGAAGAGCAGACAGTGCTCTTAACCACTGAGCCATCTCTCCAGCCCAAAGAAATTCTTTTTAAAACTCAATAACCTCTTAGCTGTTGTGGATTAAAGGAAGTGAAAAGATGAAATTAAAAGTAAAGCAACATGTTGCAAAAACAGTTAATAAATAAGCAATTTACTCAGAATGCTTATTGTAATTTGCCATTCATGAAGAGATACACACGAAACCAGAGGATAGAAATCTGCAGGGATTATCCACTTGAAAACTCCATTCTTTTAAGAACATTGTACATGGGGCTGGAGAGATGGCTGGGTGATTAAAAACACTGCTGCTTTTTCAGGGAGGACAGGAGTTCAGTTCCCAGAACCCACATGAGGCAGCTCACAGCTGTCTGAAACTTCAGTTCTGAAGAATCTGATGCCCTTTTCTGGCCTCTATGAGCACTACACACACACACACACACACACACACACACACACACACACACATATAAAAAAAACAAAATTTTTAAGTAAGACAAACTACCTAAAAAAGTCAACTCAACATATATAGCCATGGATAGCATCTTTAGTTATTTTTCATTTTACAATTCACAAACTCTTCTTTAAAGAAACATATAATAGAGGCTGGGAGTTGTGGCTCGGTGTAAGCTCTTGCCTACCATGTGTGAGATCCTGGATGTGGTCTGCAGCATGGCTTTAGGGAGCCTACTGTCTCTACAGCAATTTTAAACCTCTTTCACTGTAGCACAAACAATGACTTTAGACACACATAAGTAAGTGCCTCTGTGTGCCAATAAAACTATATTTTTATCAACAGTGGCCCATGAGCCATAGTGAACTTATCTCTGGTTTAGATCAATTTGCTTTTAGTCATTTAATTCGGTTTTAGTTCAGTCTCCTTGCATGGGTGCATAAGGTAAGGTGATGCTAGCTAGAATGCTTCCAAGAATGCTAGCTAGAATGGTTCCAAAACCAGAAGTTCACACAGGAAGAGGAAGTTTAAATTAGAAACAGTCCTACGCCTTGTAGTGGTTGCAGCCAAAGTGATTCATAGCAGCAAATGCTTTTAGCCACTTGATTTCCAATAAAAGAAAACTGACTGCCTAAACAATAACCATAAAGGAGAGTACTCTGTAGTTATATAATAATGTGGAGGATCTATACTAATTAACTTGGCCAAAGACTCCATATTGTTTTTTTAGAATTCTTACACAATAAACTTTTACTAATTATAGACTCAGAACAATCAGTGGAGGCAATATCACGTTCAATGCTTGATGGATTTGTGAATGATAGTAACATTTCAATTTATATCTGGAACTTGCTTCCAAGGGACATTTCGTGGTACAATACTTAACTCACCTTTGTTTGATTCTCTTTCTTCTGGAGAGCCTTTAATTCCTCCCTCTGAGCCTTCGTGGGTTTCACCCATTCTATTTCGATCTCCTGTGTTGCCTTAAAACAACACAATTATATAATTATCAAACTTAGTAGAAATGAATTAGCCTAGACCCAAATGGATCTACATAATGATTTGACAGATTATAAAATTGCTTTTTTTTTCTGTTTGTTTTGAAACAGGGTCTTAATATCGAGCAGGTCAGGCTGGCCTGAAACTCATGTTCTTCTTGCCTCAGTCTCCCAAGTGCCTGGATTATATGAAAGCACAACAGCTAGCTTACAGTCAGTTGAATCAGTGAGGAAAAAAGGCTTGTTTTGCAGTTGGGAACAATTAGGACACTCGGCATAGAAAGTCAAAGTAATGTCCATATTATCTAGTCAAATAACTTTCTAAGGACTACAATATAAAACCCCATTAAAAGGCAGAGAAAGAGGTGTGAAAAATGATTCAGCAGTTGTTAAAAAAAGAGCAAGTGTTGCTCCTTAAAGAACCAGAGTTTAGTTCTTAATGCTCATGTGATATGTCTCACAGCCACCTGTGACTCCAGCTCCAGGAGATCCTCTGGGCATCATAAGCACCTGCACTTCCATGCACAAACCCACACATGAACACAAGCATACATGTATAATTTTAAGAAGTGAGTATTTTTTAAGTAGAAAATTAAAGATGAATATGTTTATCTTCATGGACGACTATCTTTTTAAGATATGATGGCAGAATGTAGAAATAATCATATGTAATTGTATGTAAATGCAAATTTCCATATATAAAACACTAGAAACAAAACTAAAAAGCAGATGTTAAACCATGCAAAGGGTTGACATTTGCAGAAAACGAGAAAAATGTAAAATCACCAAAAATGGCTCCCAGATCAATATTGACAATTGACCAAAAGGACTTCCAAATGGCAAATGCAATATATTCTAGTAATCAAAGAGTTTTTTGCCTCTTAACTTGACAGGGCTATAATATACACAATTAGAGCTGATAGTGATTTGGAGATAGTGATGTAGTGTGTAAGGAGGGGTGGATTTAATTCATATGCTTTTCTAGAGATAACTTGGCAATACAAATCTAAAACCACACATAAGTATAAAGAGCTAGACACAAGGAGGCAGAGGCAGGTGTGTTTCTGTGAATTCAAAGGCATCCTGGTCTACAGAGTACCTTCCAGTTCAGCCAAAGCTATTACTGATATTGCTTATAAAGCTAAGGTAAGGTAACTTATGGCTAGTAGCAAGCATATACCAAGTCTGCACTCTGAACCTGCAGGCTCTGTGGGACTCTGCTATTAGGTCTAGCATTTCTGATTGCCTCTGAGCTAGGTATGATATGACAGACTCCCTTTCTCAGGTGGGTTACTTCTCCCCCTGATCTGGGGAAGCCTAGATCTTCTAAGGAGAGTCACATAGCCCTCAGAGACATTACAAGCCCAACCCTTTTCTGATTAAAAAAAAATCATTCATCAAGCATTTGGGAATTCCTGGAAACATCCACCTTATGCTAACGAGATATTTTAGTATCCTGGCTTTCAACCAAAAACCTTTAACCTTACCTGGAGTTCTTCCCCCACCTATAGGATAATTAAGTACTGCTTTCCCTTTTTATGATAGGGCTGTGTTATGCATATAAACAAAGTATCCCTGACATTCCCTAGCCCCATAGAATCAAACATATTCACCCTCTTAACCCCACCCACTTCCCAAGGTTTATAAATCCCTGTTTCACACTCAAAATAAAGGGGCTAGCATCATCTATTTCACCATGACCATCTGAGACTCATCATTTATTCTGGGGAAGGACAGGATCCACTTCTCCCTGAAGAATTCATCACTTGACCCCTGGGGCTTGGCTGCCAGTCAGTCAGCCACATGCTGCTGGCCACTGAAAGCTTCTTCCATTCATTGGCGAGTCAGTGCAGATTGCTGATGCCATCTTTCTAGTACTGCTCTGTCCACTGCAGTGCAGTCTGTGGGAGCAAGAAGCTGGCTGTTCTTGAAACAGCCATTTCGTCCACCAGGACAAAATTGGGCTCCCACATCTGTCTCTCTGTTTTGGAGCTCCGAGTGGTCTGCCATAACTGACTGCTCACAAAGTGGCCGCCGACTTGCCCAACTCAGGCTGGGTCCTGTTGCTGCCTGGCTCAGGTTCTGGATCCCTGAGCTCCTTTGACTCAGTGTTTCATCCTTTACTGCTCCAGAGTGTGCACTTCTGTTTCCCTGCAGGGAAGCCCAGAGTCGGGAAACAGAATGGCAGGGCTCTACATCCCTGGGCTAAATGAACTGTGGGTGAAAGATCTGAGGAACAAAGCGTATCATCACTGAATGGATATGTTTTTCATCATTGTTCCCTAATAATATATTGTAACAACTACTTATATGATGTTTTCACTCTATTTGGTATTGTGAGTAATTGAAAGGTTGAAAGTTTGCAGAAGGTATATAAGTTATGTGAGAATGCTATTCCATTCTATGGGTGGGTCCTGAACCTTCCTGGTATCTGTAGGACAGATGGTGGTATGCTCCGTGGGCTGTTTAGTACTAATTATGTGTCAGATGATATCCTTATGCTTTCAACTCCAAACCTGTGGGATAGCATATTATAAAATACCTCAAAATAGAAAACCGAGTTGATGTATAATCAAATATTACTATATTATAATCAAATATTATTCTAGCTTTCAAAATTATCTAGGATCATTAACAACGTGAGAAAAAGCTGCACACTATTTATACATGAAAAGAATACTAAGTTATAAACAAAGTGAAGTAACAGATTCCAATTCAAACAATGAGTCTCATGTATTTTCAGCTGGCCTTGAACTGTCATTCATGAAGCCAAAGGTGACTTTGAGTTTCTAATTCTTGGGCTCCACTGCTGGAATTACAGGTGTGTGCTTTGTTTGTTTGTTCCTGTGCATGTGTGTGTGCCTATATAATGTATGCACATCATGTGTGTGCCTGATGCTCTTAAAGACCAAAGAGGGTGTCAAATCCCATCATGTGGGTGCTGGGAACAACCTGGTTTCCTTGCAAGAGTAGCAAGTGCTCTGGACCTCTGAGCCATCTTCCCAGCTTCTGCTATAACCATCCCTAAGTGTAAAATTTTACATATATTTTACATACAAATTTACCATACATACATATATTTAATGTTGTACAACCATTACCACTGTTTACATCCAAACCTTTCATAGTTCCCAACAAAGACTCCAAACTGGAGGAAAGCATGGCAACTCATGTCTTTAATGCCAGAACTCAGGAGTCTGAGGCAGATGAACCAAGAGTTCAAGGCCACGCTCTCTAGTGAGACCCTATTCCAAGCAATATAAACAAAGCATTGATGACCACAAAAGAAGAAGAAAAACAAAGCAAAACCCTGTAAACCTATTAAACAATAGTTGTCCTTTCATCCCCCACTCCCCAGTCCTTGGGAACTTCTGCTATAGATTGTCACTATGAATTGCCTATTCTATATAGCGTCTCAGCTACTAAGGAAATGTGTACTGTTTCAACCCCAGTGGCCAGTGTTGACCTCACCTGCATGTAGAGCAGGTCTCCAGCTGCTCTGCAGTCCATCAGCATAGAGTCCAGGGCCGGGTCCAGGTACCTGCACAATCAGTGATCCTATGTGACATGCCTAGGGACACATCCAGGAATAGATGTTCTGGAAAGCAATGGTCCTCCACTCTGAGAACTGGGTCCTCCTTCTCTCATAAAACTAAAGCACAAGACTTGACTAGCCTTTGACATTTCCTTTATTATGCTGTGTTCTATTTTCTCCATATAGTGAGCTTTTATTTGGTGGGCTCTAGAGTAATGGTCTCTCTCTCTCTCTCTCTCTCTCTCTCTCACACACACACACACACACACACACACACACACACACACACACACAGCTTTAGGAGAATGGCGTGCATTCCTGATCACACTTAGACACCAAGTCCTGGATTCTGTCTTCCACTGCATAACACCTGCCCTGGCCACCTGCCCCGCACATGCCCATCCATACTTACTACCCTGCACCTGGCCATTCTCTTCTGCCTCTAGCGCTGCTCAAAAGCATCCCCACACCAGGCTGTCTGCTTCTTCCTCTTGCTTCATTTTCCTCTGGGTGAGACTTTTCCTGAGCAACCCTCCCACTCTTGGAGTTGTGGGAACTGGGTCATTTATCCCGCTCATGTCTGAGGCACTCTGTAGTGCACTTCTCCCTTCCTTCCCCTGCTACACCTTACCATCCCCACAGCAACTCTATATCCCAGCCACACTTTCCCTCCTCCATCTCCCCTGCTCCTTCTTTCATACAAGGCCACTGCCTCAAACACCCTCCTTCCCTGACTTGTCTTTTTTCTGAAAGCCTGCTCTGTGGTCCCCTCTTGTCTGGTACCTGATGCCCAGCCTGTGCTAGCACTCCACCTCTGCGCTTTGACAATGCCTTGAATTTATCCCAATTACTGCTTTGATCAACTTGTTTCGACACCTGCAATGAAGGCTTCAGCCCTCAAGCCTGGTGATGCCCTTCTGAGTCTCAGCAGAGTGACTAGCAAGTATCAGGGGATCCATGTCTATCTGTCAGAACCACCAAGATAAACAGATTCATTGCGTGTAAGTACAGTGGTTCTCTGAGAATGGGCAGAAATGGAAAGGGGAGAAACAGAGGCAAGCAATTATTGCACTCATAAGAACAGTATGACTACATAGAGAACTGGATCAGACCCATGAAAGGATGAAAATGGGGTTTGAAGGTCAAGCTTATGCTGGCAGAGAGAAGCAAACTGAAACATTCCAACTAACTTTTCCTTTAAATATGTGTCCACAAACCTGCAAAGCCCATGTGTGACTGAGAATTGCCTCATAGTTGGAAAGCCCTGAGACACCTTTCAGGTTGGGGCTTTAAGCTGCCAGGACAACACCCTCTGGTCTAGAAGAAACCATAACATCACTAGAGAGATGCACTCAGGGAAGTCCTGGATGAAAAAAAAAATCCTCAAAATATCAGCTAGGCCCCTCTGAAAAGCCCTTCTATCAGAATCATGCAGTTGGTGGAACTGGCCTCCCTGTTGCCACTGGAAAGGCTTCCTCTGGAGAGGGGGCAATACACCCCAAGGTGTTATATTATGTTCCCTTGTGGAAATCTGACCCTCAACTCTGACTACAGTAGTGTGCCTAATCTTACTCATGAGCAAAGTGATTTGTAGGATGGAAATGCTGGCTTGTAAATACAGGGATCTTCACCTTGCATTTGCAGCTAGGCATCTAGGATGTACCTATTTAAGAAAGACAGGCACAGCCTAGTGTCTAATTCAGGCTTCTAGGTGAGGGGAAGAAATCTACCCACTCCTTTGCTCTCAAGTGCTTAGGAAAGTGTGTAAACTTGAAAAGTCTCAGCCCCAGGGACTTTCTGTTATTATCGCTATTATCATTCTTTCCACTATAACAATAACAAACATGAACAAAATTTATTGAGTATGTGGGATTGCTTTAATCTTCACAATAATCCTAGGATAATTATTCTCCACTTTTACAAATAGCTGGGACTATCCCTTAAAAATTTAAAACTACAAGCTACACCTAGCAAGATAGCATTGTGACAAATAAATAACTATCCCTAGATTGTAAGATGTCTTCTTTTTTTTTTTTTTTTTTTAAGTTTGTGTTCTCAGATTGCAGAATAACTGAGCTGGACAGAGGCAACTTTAGAAGCAATTCAACATAGTCATGGCAATAAGGACTGGGAACTCAGACTGCAGGATGGGGCTGGGAAAGCATGCTGCCTTTCACTGTGATTTTCTGTTTATTTGTTCTTGATAGGCTTCTCTTCCCAGGAAAATAACAGCATTTTCTACTGAGACACTTTTGTCTTTTTAATCTAAGAATGTGGGTGGCCCTTGTACATATCTAGGAATGTGAGCTAAATGCTTACAAATTCGGTGCCAACTGCCTGAGTAAGCCTTCTGCCTTCAAGGAATATCAAGTTCAATGGGCATCATATCTGCTTGTAGCCATCAATGATATTCCTTCAGTTACTACAGCTAGCCATCCAACCCAGAGCAAAAGCATGCTCAGTAATTCTTGCCATCATCTATTCCAATCCACCCCAGAGACTGAGACCCACAGTGGTGTCTGACAGCACAAGTACTTACCACTTTCTGAGTCCAATCTTACAGTTTTCCACTTCAGAACTCTGAAGACTAGTATAAGGCAGCTCAAAATCCACCAACTTCTTCACAACTGGAGAGGGAAAAGGCAGCATGGAGATCAGGCTAGCCATGTGTAAAACTATTCTTTCCACGCTGTTTTGCCCTTAGAAATTCCATTTTACAGATTTTTGCTATTGTCCTTATTTTTTACTTCATTTTGAGGACAGAGGATAATGGAAAGTCAGGTTGCACCTGCACACATCACCATCTGTCTTCCATCCAGTACAGACTGATAAATGACTTATTCCTCAAAATAGAATGAATTGAGACTGTAGAGGCACATCATGCTATATTAAAATCATAGGAGAAACAAGGCTCCAAAACTTATTGGACACGCCAGACCAAGGAGAGGATGGGATTCCCACACCTAGATCCCGTCATGTGATTAATGCCTCCAAGTGCTCTGCTGGTCCCACACCAACCTGTCGCCTGCTGCTCTTGTGTGCAGCAAGGAATTCAAGTGGACTCCCAGCTAACTGTCCCTACACCTTCAGTACACCTTGTTCCCTGATGCTGATGGAGCCCACTCTGCTGCTGGTGGCAGGTCCACATGTTCCTGTTCGCCCATTTGGACCTGGACCTTCTGTTTCTGCCCCAGAGACCATTCTGCCCTTCCTTCTCTGCAGCCAACTATACCTCTCCTCTCATCCTTCTTTCTCTGGAGGTCTGATCACTACAGCAACAGTTTCTTCTCTGCTGCTGGCTTGGGCTTCTCATCTTAGCAATACTAACTCTGTAGCATTTCTCTTACCCACTTCTGTAGCCTCTGAACTCTCCTGCACTCTCTTTAACTTGTATTCATCATGGAAACCACATAAAGTACAGAGGGAAGATCCAAGATGGTGGTACCAAGAGGACACTGTCTGACAAGCAGGACAGCAGTGATTGCACAGTGACCAACAGACCAAACTGTAGGCCCTAAAACACCAGCAATTGTGTTTCTCAGGTGAAAGGAAACCCCATGGTGTGGGAAGTGATCGGGTCCATCACTTTAGCTCAGGTCACCCAGCTAAAACCCGGAAGAATTCCTGGGTCCCAGCCAGCATTCAGTTGCCAGCCCAGAGACACGCCTGCATGCCCAATTTACTGTCCCAGACAGAACTGTAGACCCCAAAACACCAGAGACTGGGTTTCCCTTTTGGGAGGAAACCCCACGGTGAGGGAAACATCAGGTCCAACCTCAGGATACCCAACTAATCCCTGGAAATGTTCCTGGGTTCCAGCAAGCTCAGAGCTCTAGCCTCCTGCCACATGTCTATGTGCTGCGCTCACTTGCCACTGATTACCATTTGGGTACTGGGGTACAGAGCTCCAATATCAGACCTACAGACATCTGAGACCCACAGGATCAGCCCAGATGCTGCTCCTAAGCATAACGTGTCTTCCTAGCTAAACTTACAAAACCACAGTGTAAGAGCAGCAGCAGCAGCTCACTAAATTCATAGTAAGAAATCCAGTGGCAGGGCAGGACTTCTCTTGGTGAGAGGATAGCCCCCTGACTACCCCAAAGGACCATACACCTGAGGTAAGCTGTGGCAATTCTCTGAGAAGCACCCACCATTCGGTAACCACACCAAAAAGCTGAGAAGGCCTCCTCCAGGAACAACCATCTTCCTGCCAAGGGAATTCTCCCCACCCCAGGATTCTAGCAGGTACCAAAAACTAACAACCAACACCTGAGACAGCCAGATGGGTAGAGGCCAACATAAAAGCACAACTAACAAAAGCCAAAGCCATATGGTATATCCAGAACCCAGTTATCCAGAGTAAAGTAGCCCTAGACACCCTAATATAAATGAAATTCAAGAAGATGACCTTACATCTATGCTTACAAAGAAGATAATAAAGGAAACAAAAAAATGAGTAAAGAAATAGAGGAAGATAAAGTTAAAGAGATTATGGCCATCTATAAAGAAATACAGAAAGATGCAGCAAAACAGTTTATGGCCTTCAGAGAGGAAATAATTAAATCACCAAAAGAGGAAAATTCAAACAAACGGGTGAAGGAATTGAGGGAAAATACAGTCAGACAGGTGAAGGAAATCAACAAAACAGTTCAAGATCTGAAGAAAGAATTGGAAAAATTAAAGAAAACACATATGGAGGAAATTATGGAGAGGGAGAACTTAGGGAAGAAAACAGGAACTACAGAGGTAAGCATAAACAGACTATAAGAGATGGAAGAAAGAATATCTCTGTACATCACAGAAAATATTAAATCTAAAAAATTCTTGACACAAACCATCCAAGAAATCTAAGACAACATGAAAAGACAAAACCTAAGAATAAGAGGAAAAAGAAGATTCCCGCCTCCAAGGCCCAGGAAATATTTTCAACAAAATCATAGAAGAAAAATTTCCCAGTTTAAAGGAGAAACCTATAAGAATGCAAGAGGCCTACAGAACACCTAATAGATTGGACTAGAAAAGAAAATTCTCCCACCACATAATAATCAAAACATACAAAGAAACAAACATACAAAGAAATAAACATACAAAGAAAAAATACTAAAGGCTGCAAGGGAAAAAGGCCAAGTAACATATAATGGCAAACCCATCAGAATCACACCTGACTTCTCAACAGAGACTATGAAAGCCAGAAGGGCCTGAACAGATATCATGCAGACCCTAAGAGAGCACAGGTGTCAGCCCAGGCTACTATACCCAGCAAAACTCTCAGTGATCATAGATGGAGAAAACAAGATATTCGACAACAAAAACAAATTTAAACAATACCTACCCACAAATCCAGCCTTACAGAAGATACTAGAAGGAAGACTACAACTCAAGAAAGCTTAACTGCATTCAGAAAAACACAGGAAATAAATAACCTTACTACAACAACAAAACTAAAAGTAACCAAGCACACAAACACACTACCACAACCAACATCAAAATAAAAGGATCTAATAGTCATTGGTCATTAATCTCTCTCAACACCAATAGACTTAACTCGCCAATAAAAAGACACAGACTAACAGAATGGATGCATAAACAAGACCCAACAATCTGTTGCATACAAGAAATACACCTAAGTCACAAAGATAGACATTACCTGAGAGTAAGGGGCTAGTAGACAGTTTTCCATGCAAATGGACCCAAGAAGCAAGCAAGAGTAGCCATTCTAATATCTAATAAAATAGACTTTCAACAAAAATTAACCAAAAGAATGGGGAAGGTCACTTCATAGTCATCAAGGAAAAATTCCACCAAGAAGACATCACAATCCTGAACATCTATGCCCCAAATACAAGGGCACCCACATTTGTAAAAGAAACATTAATAAAACTTAAACCACACATAGATCCCCACACATTAATAGTGGGAGACTTCAACAACCCACTGTTAACAAGGACAGGACAACAAAACAAAATTAAACAAAGAAACAATGACACTAACATATGTCATGTATCAAACGGATCTAAGAGACATCTACAGAACATCTCATACAAGCAACTGAATGGCTCACCTGGAATCCCTAGGGGAAAAAAATAATCAGATACATCTAAGAAGAGTAGATAGCTGGAAATAATCAAACTCAGGGCTGAAATCAATAAACTAGAAACAAAGAGAACAATTCAAAGAATCATTGAAACCAAGAGATGGTTCTTTAAGAAAATCAACAAGATAGACAAACTAACTAAAAGGCAGAGAGACACTATTCAAATCAACAAAATCAGAAATGAAAAGGGGAACATAACAACAGACACTGAGGAACTCCAAACAATCATTAGGTCTTACTTCAAAGCCTGTATGCCACAAAATTTGAAAATGTAAATGAAATGGACAATTTTCTTGACCGATTCCACTTACCAAAGCTGAATCAAGACCAGGTAAATAAGTTAAATAGTCCTATATCTCCTAAGGAAATGGAAGCAGATATCAAAAGTCTCCCATGTAAAAAAGCCCAGGGCCAGATGGTTTCAGCACAGAATTCTACCAGATCTTCAAAGAAGAGCTAACACCAATACTCTTCAAACTCTTCCACAAAATAGAAACAGAAGGAACATTACCAACCTCATTCTATGAAGCCACAGTCACCTTGATACCTAAACTATACAAAGACCCAACAAAGAGAGAAAATTTCAAGCCAATTTCCCTTATGAACATTGTTACAAACATACTCAACTAAATACTTGCACACCAACTCCAAGAACAATCAAAATTATCATCCACTATGACCAAGTAAGCTTCATCCAAGATATGCAGGGGTGGTTCAATATAAGGAAATCCATCAGTGTAATCCACCATATAAACAGAAAAAAAAGACCCTTGATCACCTCCTTAAATGCTGAAAAAAGCATTTGAAAAAAATCCAACACTCATTCATGTTTAAAGTCCTGGAGAAATCAGAGATACTTACCTGAACACAGTAAAGGCAATATACAGCAAGACTCCAGCCAACATCAAACTAAATGAAGAGAAACGTAAATCAATCCCACTGAAATCAGGGACAAGGTAAGGCTGTCCACTCTCTCCAAATCTCTTCAACATAGTTCCTGAAGTCCTTGCTAGAGCAATAAGACAATTAAAGGAAATCAAGGGGATTCAAATTGGAAAGGAAGAAGTTAAAGTATCACTATTCTCAGATAATATGATAGTATATATGAGTGACCCCAAAAATTCTACCAGGGAACTCCTACAGCTGATAAACACCTTCAGCAAAGTGGCTGAATACAAAACTAGCTCAACAATATCAGTAGCCCTACTATATACAAAAGACAAATGGGCTGAGAAAGAAATTAGGGAAACAACGCCCTTTACAATAGCCACAAAAGACCTAAAATACCTTGGTGTGACTCTAACCAAGCAAGTCAGACTTGTATGAAAAAAACTCCAAGTCTCTGAAGAAAGAAATAGAAGAAGATATCAGAATATGAAAAGATTTCCCATGCTCATGGCTTGGCAGGATTAACATAGTAAAAAATGGCCATCTTAACAAAATCAATCTACAGATTCAATGCAATTCCCATCAAATTACCAATGCAAATCTTTACAGACTTTGAAAGAAAAATTCTCATCTTCATATGAAATAACAAACCCAGAATCCCTAAAACAATCCTCTACAATAAAAGATCTTCTGGAGGTATCTCCATCCCTGATCTCAAGCTGTACTATAGAGCAACAGTAATAAAAACTGCATGGCACTAACATAGAAACAGACTGGTGGATCAATGGAATTAACCCACAAATTAACCCAGAAATAAACCCACATACTTATGGACATCTGATTTTTGACAAAGATGCCAAAATCATACAATGGAAAAAGATAGCATCTTTTTGTTGCTGGTCTAACTGGATGTCCACATGTAGAAAAATGCAAATAGAACCATATCTATCACCCTGCACAAGTGGATCAAAGATCTCAACATAAAACCAGATAATCTGTTGGAAGAAAAAGTGGGGAAGAACCTAGAACTCGTAGGCATAGGAGACAATTTCCTGAATAGAACACCAACAGCTCAGGCTCTAAGATCTACAATTAATAAATGGTATCCTGTGAAACTGAAAAGCTTCTGTAAAGCAAAGGACACTGTCAACAGAACAAAAGGACAGCATATAGACTGGGAAAAGATTTTCACCAACACTACATCCAATAAAGGGCTAATATCGAGAATATATAAAGAACTCAAGAAATTAGACACCAACAAACCAAATAATCCAATTAAAAAATGGGGTATAGAGCTAAGCAGAGAATTCTCAACAGAGGATATAGAATGGCAAAGAAACACTTAAAGAAATGCTCAATATCCTTAGTCATTGGGGAAATGCAAATCAAAACAACTCTGAGATTCCATCTTACACTTATCAAAATGGTTAACATAAAAAACTCAAGTGAATTTCTGCTTCTGGGATAAAACACACAGGGTATATACTCACTCATAAGTGGATATTAGACATATAATTTAGGATAAATATACTAAAATCTGTACATCTAAAGATACTAATCAAGAAGGAAGACTCTGGCTAAGTTGTTCAATCCCCATTCAGAAAGGCAAAGAGGATGGACATCACAAGAGGGAGAAAACAGGAAACAGGACAGGCGCCTACCACAGAGGGCCTCTAAAAAACTCTACCCTGCAGGGTATCCGAGCAGATGCTGAGACTTATAGCCAAACTTTGGGCGGAGTGCAGGGAATCCTATGAAAGAAGGGGAAGATAGTAAGACCTGAAGAGGACAAGGAGCTCCACAAGGAGGGCAACAGAATAAAAAATCTGGGCACAGGAGTCTTTTCTGATACTGATACTCCAACCAAGGACCATTCATGGAGATGGCCTGAAACCCCTGCATAGAGGTAGCCTATGGCAGTTCAGTGTCCAAGTGGGTTCTATGGTAATGGGAACAGGGACTGTCTCTGACAGGAACTGATTGGCCTGCTCTTGGATCACCTCCCCCTGAGGGGGGAGCAGACTTACCAGGTCACAGAGCAAGACAATGCAGCCACTCCTGATGAGACCTGATAGACTAGGATCAGAATGAAGGAGAGGAGTAGTGGACTTGGGGAGGGACATGGGTGGAGAAGGGGGAAGGAGGGTAGGATTGGGAGGGGAGGAGGAAGGGGGCTACAGGGGGATACAAAGTGAATAAACTACAATTAATAATTAAAAAGCTCAAGTGACAACACATGCTTGAGAGGATGTGGAGAAAGGGAAACCCTCCTCTATTGCTGGTGGGAGCACAAACTTGTACAACTATTTTGGAAATCATTCTGGAGCTTTCTCAGAAAATTGGGAATAGCACTACCTCAAGATCCAGCAATACCACTCCTGGGTATATACCCAAAAGATGCCCCACCATTCAATATGAACATTTGCTCAACTATGTTCATTGCAGCTTTATTCGTAATAGTCAGAATCTGGAAACAACCCAGATGTCCCTCAACGGAGGAATGGATACAGAAATTGTGGTACGTTTACACAATGGAATACTACTCAGCTGTTAAAAACAAAGAAATCATGAAATTTGCAGGCAAATGGTGGGGACTAGAAAAGATCATCCTGAGTGAGGTAACCCAGAAACAGAAAGACTTACTTCACTTATAAGCTGATATTAGCCATATAATATAAGATAGCCATCTACAGACCTAAAGAAGCTAAACACTAAAGAGGACCCTAGGAAGAATGCTTAAATCTCATTCAGAATAGCAAACAGGATAGACACCAGAAGTGGACGAAGAGAGGAAATAGGGTGGGAGCCTACAATAGAAAGTCCTCTGAAAGGATTCACCCAACAGGGGATTGAAGCTGATGCTGAGACTCAGGGTCAAACTTTGGGTAGAATGCAGGGAGTCTTATGAAGGAAGAGAGGGATGAGGATAGGGCCACATGGAGGGGACAGGAGCCCCACAAAGAGACCAACAAAACTAAAAGATCTGAGCCCAGGGGTCCTGCAGAGACTGATGCACCAATGGAGAACCATGCATGTGGCCAATGGGCAGCTCGGTCCTCATGTGGATCTCTGAGAGAGAGAAACAGAACCTCTATCATGAACTCATTTGCCTGCTCTGTGATCACTCGCCCCTGGTGATGTGGCCCTGTCAGGCCATGCAGGAAGAGGATCCAGGCAGTCCTGATGAGACTTAACAAGCTATGGGCAGATGGCAATAGTGGAGAACTCCCCCTTTCAGAGGACTAGGGGAAGGGGATAAGGCGGAAGAAAGAGGGGGTGAGACTAGGGGGAGTTGAATAAATTGTGAAGAAAAAAATAAATATAAAAAAATTTAAATTGAAACAAATAAAAAAACAACAAAAAAGAAAAGTACATAGAGATGTATTTATTGACTGTGTTCTCTGTGATGTATGATATGAGAGTTAATGTTGGTAATTAAGATATACTAGTACTGGCTGGAGAGATGGCTCAGAGGTTAAGAGCATTGGTTGCTCTTCCAGAGGACCCAAGTTCAATTCCCAGGAACTAATGGTGGCTCATAGCCATCTATAATGAGACCTGTGCATACACAAAAAAAGATAATATTAGTAAGTAATGTAAGTAAGAAGCTACCTTTGCCTAGGCCAGATTACCCAGATAGGCAGGATAATCCAGGAAATTGCTACTACAGAAACTGCTGTACCTTGTGAATTTAGTGTTATTCCAAAACGTCTGACATTGTGAAAGGCACAAATATGTCTGTTTCTGGAATAGCGCACTCATGACAGACAGTCTAAACTAGTTAAATAGCATATACAGTTTACAGACAGCTTTCAAACAAGATGGCAAGGCAATATTATTGGGGGAGGAACAAAATATTCACTCGTATGTGTATGTGTTTTAACTATCTGCCATGATGTGACCTGCTCTGCCCTGCCTCCTGTTGTGGGGGGTTGAATACTTCTACTCCTCCATGCTCCCCCTGTCATGGGAAAATGAACACATTTTCCTTATGTTGTTTCTGCCAAGCATTATGTAACCATAACACAAAGTTGGAATGACATGCTATCTCTTTGGGGATACCTGCCCCCATTCTCTGAACAACATAATATTTTACTCTCCAAATCACTTGTTTATTCAGAGGGCCTCACAACCAGCACAATGGTGCATGCAGCATTCTTGGAGGCAGAGGCAGGTAAATTTCTGTGAGTTCAAGGCCAACCTGGTCTACAAACCAGAACAGCTAAGGCTACACAGAAAAACCCTGTCTTGAAAGACCAGCAACAACAACAAAATAAGACAGAGCCTCACTATGTAGCTCTAGCTGTCCTGGAATTCATTATATAGACCAGGCTATCCTTGAACTCACAGAAATCTGACTGTCTCTACCTCCAAATGCTGGGATTAACAGTGAGCATCACGATGCCTGGCTAATTCTCTGATTCTTTAATCCGGAGCTGAAAACAGCAGTAGAACTACAACCTGAAGGGTGGCCCTTTGTGGTGCTTCCCACCCCTTAGGCCAAGCACTAGCTCACACATGTCCATTTTCTGGGTTCCCCTTTTCCAACTTACCAGAGAGTTTGCCTTCTGGGAAACACTGAATGAGAAAGAGGCCAAAGTAGCCCAAGAGCTCTGGATGCAGTCCAAGTTTATGCGCCACCACCTTAGGCAGGAACAAGCAAAGGAGGAATGTTAGGGTAATAGCCATACTTCGGGACTGTAGTGGCAGGACTGAAAGGGGCACAGCAATAGCAAGTGTTTTTGCAGGCCAGAAGACATTCAAAAAATCATTTTTTTTTAATCTAAAAATGGCTCATACTTGTTACAGTTTGAATCTGAAATGGTGTCTGCAGGCTCATGCATTCGAACTCTTGATGCCTAGCTGGTAGCACTGTATTTCAGGATCATGAAAACATTTGCACCTAATGCTATTGTAAATTCATGGGGCTGGGACTTGAAGGTTATCAGCTTGTTTCACTTCTGGCTTAAGTGTAATTTGCTGTGACTTTGGTTCAGTGAAAACTCCAGATACCCTTAAGTGTGACTTACTGTGGCCTTGGCTCCATGGAAACCTCTAACTCTAGGTCCAGGACATCAACTGCTTTCATTTCAATGTCTGTGGTTTCATGCTTACCACAAAATGTGTCCTCACAAAAAATGTACCTCCACTCACTTTTCCTCAGCAGGGACCACAGGCCACTGCTCTCCTCCATCTGGCCTACACATTTAAGACTTGGCTTGGGAACACAGGGTTTTCCCTACCCCACAATTGGGCAGAGGGGAGGGCCCAGGAGGCAGAGCTGCTGATAGCCACATCTGAAGCAGAGAGAATGATGTAGGGTCTTTGTCAACCTCAAAACGACTCGAACTCAGGTCAGGCCCTTGGTGACCTTATGCAATGTGGTTTCTGGGGCATCCTGCATGTGAGAGAAGTCCTCAAGAAATCCCCTGCCACTCTCTGCCAGGCAGTACCTACCACTACCCACTTGGATATGACCTGTTCCAGACTCTGCCAGGCACCACCCTCCTTCTTGCTTTCATTCATGTAGCATCCTGAGACAGAGTCTTCCGCTTATCGCCAGGGCTCAGCCTGGTCAATCCAGGGAAGTAGCCACAACCCTTGAAAGTCTCAGGAAGGGTAAAATCAAGGAGGTCCCCAAGGATGGGCTATTCCATGGCTTCCTCAGCCTGTTCCCCTTTTGGGGTGACTTATATGCAGCACCTCTGCAGAAAAATCATCCACAGATAAAATGATTGTCAGAGAACTTCTGGAAGGTAATTGCATCCAAGTCTCTGCCTCATACGACCTGTTTCTGCATTTCCTGGAGCTGAAGCTAAACAAAGTTTACCTCCAGGACCCTTTCAGCCATATCGGATGTTAGAATGTCCACATTAATGCTCCTTCCATTGGGCAGAAATACATCCAGAGCAGCTTTCGTGGTGGTGATATTCAGCGTGTGCTATAAATAAAAGAACAGCAGTCAGTGTCCACACCCATCACAGAGAGGGCGAGTGGTCCCTGCCTGTCTGCATTGTGTGCAGGGAGATGGTGCCTAAAGCAAAGAAATCTCCAGTGCAGAGACTGAGTATAGGTCCTTTGGTGTGACAGAGCAGAGGTGAAGAGAAGTCTGGGGAGGAATCAAGGCAGAGCACTAGTGTAAGGTCTGAATTCTTTCCAAATAAACAACAAAGCACCCATTTTGGAGGGAAAATATTCTGATAAAAATCATCCATATCTTGCTTGGTAATCTTGGAATTAAATTAACTCACTTTAGATTCCTCTAAGCACCCTAAATGTCTGGCTTTGTGGCACACTGGATGGATAGGGCTTTCCCCCACAGCAACCAATTCCACCCTCATCCCCACCCCTTTTTGAAGACAGGGCCTCACTGTATAGATCTGGCTGTCCCGGAATTTGCTCTGTAGACCAGGTTGGCCTGGAACTCACAAAGATTGGTCTGCCTTCACCTTCAAGTGGATTAAAGGCAAGCACCATAACATCTGGTTGAATATCCCAGTACCAGAAATTCAACTCAGTGCTGGCTTGATTTGCCTGGCATCGGTATAAGACACTTATTTCATCTTATTACAAATTCTGGAGGGCCTCATGACTCACAGTCTCCATAATTTTCCAGAATGACTTGAAGAATTCAGGGAACAGTTTCCTTCCTACTGCCAGCATGTTATAAGGAGATGGCTGGGACAGAGCTAAATGAAGAGACACTTATGGCAAGGTTTGTGGGGTCTCTGTGTGGCCCAAGCACCTCCATGCCTTCTGCATTCTGGAAGTTCTCTCAACTCCACTGTTTTGGGGGATCTTGTAGAGGTTCAGCTATCCCTGGCATGGGACCTTGTGTAACCCTGGACTGATCACTTCCCTCTCTGTACCTCACTCCTTCAGCTCTACAATAGGGTATAATAGCGTCCAGCTCACAAGACTGCGGTGAGGGATCAGGAGAGGATGAAAGAGGAACATAGAGCAGAACCCATTATAGACACTCAGGTAGGTGTCATATTTATTGCTTTCCTCTTGTTAGAGGTAGGATTAAAGAGAAAGTTATATAGCTTGACTTTCACTTAGTGGTAACAGATTTTTTTTTCTTTCTTTTTTTTTAAGATTTATTCATTATTTATACAACATTCTACCTGCACACCAGATCTTACTATAGATGGTTATGAGCCACCATGTGGTTTCTGGGAATTGAACTCAGGACCTTTGGAAGAACAGTGAGTGTTCTTAACCGCTGAGCCATCTCTCCAGCCCCAGTGGTAACAGATATTAAATAAAGCAGTCAAGAATGCTCCAGCCACTCATTTGGTAGCATTCTCACCTAGAAGGCATAAAGCTCTGGTTTGATCCCCAGCACACAGAGACTGTGTGGTGGAGAATCAGATGTCCACAGCATTCATTCCTGAGGTACCTTATCCAGGAAAGCTCAGGCATGAACTCACATGTGCCACACTTCTGCTGCTTCAATGATGCATCTCTCTCTAGGGGAAATGGGGAACCCATGGCTTCCCAGTGACCCCAACAACAACAACACAATAAGGAAAATGTCATAAATAAGTTACGTTGTCCTAAGCTCCCACAGGTGCAGAGCCCCGTTTAATTCCTTCTTGGCCTCCTCTGTTCTCAAACCTCCTTCACATGGCTCCTAGGAACACTGGGTTATCAAGCAAAACATGAAGAGATCTCCAGTCTACAAACTAGTTTTGCCTTTTCAAAATCCATTTGTCTTTAAAGTATACATGGAACGAAAATCCAGTGAAGTCTGGATACACAAGGCAGGGAAGATTGCGTGGAGGTACAGGGAGCTGTATCCACTGAAAATACCTGACAGTATGAAGGATCAAGACTCCAAATCCAGGTTCTATGGGTTTGAATCCATATCTTCTGGTTACTAGGAGCATGTCAACCCAAAATAGCACCTCTCTCTACATGTCATGAGAAATAAGAGGGCACATGAAGCCCCGCATACCACACATTTCTTTAGGGTCAAACCCCCTTTTACTTTTGCAGCTGGGTTTTCACTGTCCTCGATGGAACCTTTCCCATACTCTCCCAGCTCTGAGACCTGAAGGAACCACAGGATTGTTTGGCACTAAGCACTCAGAGGCCATAGGCACCACACTTATCAGATGCAGTGCAGATACCCAGGTGGCAAAACTGCCTTGTGCCTGCTCTGTGAGCTCCTCCATGGTCTGGCAGACCCCTGCACTCCTGGTTACTACAGTTCTTCAGCTCCCACTAGCCCTGCAGCAGCAATCTCACTGCATGAGCTCAGCCACCCTTTCTTTTCTGTACCGATGACATTTGTGTGCTGCTAACCCATTACCCAGCTCCAGCAAGAGGTCAGCCTGTGAGATGGGGTACAGTGAGATGCAGGCCAACCCTCCATGAGGACCAACTTTCCTTTCCAAGTATTAGCCCCGAGCCCTGCCCCCAAAACACACCTCCAGATTATGTTTGTTGTTTCATCTCAATGAGAGGGGAGCTAGATAATATATATTCTCTGTCAGGCCTGCTCTGGAAAACTTCATAACCAGCATAGACATCACCTTTTAAAGAACATCTTCCCAACCATGGCTCCTCCTCACTCGGTCTCACATAACCTCATAGAAACAACAATATGTGTGGACTTTATTCAGGTAAAGGGGCATAAAGTCGCTGGAGCCAGCCCTCCAATGCTAGGGCTGAGGAGATAAACATCTTGACAGGTTGCTAACTCCCTCCAGTATTATGGCCATGCACCAGAGTGCTTGATCTAAGTCTCGATCCATGAGACAGTGCAATGCAGGACCTGGGACATTTATTTACACACCTAGAAATTTTTCTGTCACCCCAAGCGAGCAAAGTCCATGAGCCAATCTGAGCATCGTTTACTGGTGCCTCTGTGTCTCTAGAGAAGAGCTGATTGACAGTAAACCCTTAATACATATTTGTTGAATGTAGAACATATAAAATATGTAATTGAAATATAAAATATGAGATAAATCAAAACATGGTGCTCAATAGGACAATATTCCCAGTTTAAACTTAATTTTATTTTCTTTTAAGAATTTTAATATAAACCTCTCTTAAAGACATCTTCAGAGGGTTCCCCAACCCCCTTGTGCTTTACTAGCAAGCACAAAGACTTGGGTTCAGTCCTCAGCTCCAGAAAAAGGAGGAGGAGGTGGAAGAGGAAAAGAAGAAGGAGAAGAAGGAAAAAGATAAGAAAGACAGTACAGTGGAATGGAACCAGTCATGACACTGGAAGCAGAGGACGAAATCCATTGTACATAAGCTGTCTCAGGGTTCAGCCAAGCCAAGAGCACAACTCAGGAACCATCAGAAGAAATATGTGGTCACTCTATGATCATGAAAGACTAACTTCCAGCAATACCAGGAAGAGGAAATGGGCCTGATGTCAGCGATAGAAGTGCTGACCTCTCCATGAGCACTGTGCCTCCAATGAGTGTCAGAGTGTTTTGGTTTAATCCTCAAAGCAACCCCAAGAGGCAGGAGCTCTGCTCCCTGTTCTTCAACTGGAGAAACTGATATATAAAGAGGCTTAAAAAAAAAAAACTCAGTGTTGTTGCCACACATAATCCTAGCAGTTAGGAAGATTGAAAGTTCAAGGCCAGCCTGTGATACACAGTGAGTCCTGCCTATCTCAAAAAGTATAAAAGAAAGGAGAAAAAGAAATGGGAAAGGGAAGAAGAATGGGATAGAAAAATCATGAGAAAGAGAAAGGGAGGAAAGAAGGAAAGGGATGGAATGGAAGAAGAAGAATCTGAATGAATCACTCAGAAATCACAATCTGACCATCCTTACTGAGCCAGATTCACAATCACCAGGTGAGTCTGGGGCTGCTGATCTAAGTGGACAGAGCACTTGAAATGCTGGGTCACTATAAGAGACACTGCAACTTCTGCACCAGTGCTAGACAAACCAGAGCATTAATGAGAAAAGCTTAGAAACAAGATGGAAGATCCAGAAATAACTCACACTCTTGTCTTAATGATAACCCCTCTCCAGCCATATGCATCAGCCAACAGCTAGCTCAGGAGCCAGAGCCATTGAGCTGATAAGAACTGAGCTATGATCAATCAAAAGAATGCAAATGAGGGAAAAAGCATGACCAACATATGACACACACATGCAGTGGAAGCATGAGTTCCCCTAGTGCTCCTCCCCCATGCTGCCACCCCTTCCCCATGTAGATATGGGTGATGCTGGAAACAATGTGTCTCCCTATGAAGACAGAGAGCAGAGAGATGCTCCAGCTTAGAGGTTGGGAAAATGAATATAAAAGTGAGCTGGCAAAGCTCATAGAAAACAATGGAAGAAAAAAATAAAGCCATTACCAAAGCGAAAATTGCATCAGAGCCCAGAAAAGAGACACTACATAGAACAGCTGGTGGGAAAACCTTTTGTATAAAGTTGGGAGGTCAAAATACTGAAGACCTAGAACTAGGCAAAAACACTTTAAAATTATTGGAAGAAGGGGGCTTAGTGGTTAAGAGCACTGTCTGCTCTTCTAAAGGACACAGGTTCAATTACCAGCAACTATGAGATCTGGTGCCCTCTTGTGACCTGCAGGCACACATACAGATAGAGCACTCATACACATAAAATAAATAAATAAATCTTTTTTTAAAAATAAAATTATTGGAAGAATTAATACAAAACAAAACAAAACTCCACAACACTGAGAGCTCACAATCCTTTCTTTTCTTTCTTTTTTTTTTTTCCCACAGACAGGGTTTCTCTGTGTAACCTTGGCTGTCTTGGAATCGCTTTGTAGACCAGGCTGGCTTTGAACTCACAGAGATCTGCCTGCCTCTGCCTCCCAGAGTGCTAGAATTACAGGAGTGTGCTACCACGCCCAGCTCACAATCCTTTCTTAAGAAGAAAAGCAAAAGCTGTAGTGTACTCCCAAAGAACTGTTCAAACTTATCTTTATATATACTGACATACAATGACCCACAAGACATGGATTTAAAAATAAGTGGTTTTATTTTTAATTCTCTGTTGTGTGTGGAAGCAGAGGCCAGAGGAGGCATACCTGGAACTGAAGTTACAGGTAGCTGTGCATCATCTGACATGGGTGCTGTCACCCTAACTAGGGTGTTCTATTAGAAAAGGAGCCAATCTTAACTACTGAGTCATCTTTCCAACCCCAGATTTCAAGTTTTAAAAGCAAGTTTTAAGAAGTAAAAGCCAGGTACATGCTTATAATCCCAGCACACAGGAGGCTGAAGAGCTTCAGACAAGCATGAACTACATGAGTTAAAAGGGCAACCTGGAATACACAGTGAGACAATCTCTCATAAAAGAGAGTATGTCTTATATGTACCTATATGTAAAATAAAATATATATTCATGTCCTTGGATATGCACAGATTATATAGAAAGACTACACACACTAAACTGAAAATAAGAGTTTTCCTGGGGAAGGAGGCTGCGGGTAAAGAAGTTTGTATTGTGCACACTCTTATGAATTGTCCTACCATCACCATTACTATATCAGCAATAAAAAGAGAGTGTGTTTATGTAAGCTACTGGGAGTATGTATAAGGGCTGCAGACATGCAGAATGCTTGCCTAGCATCATGAAAAAAAGAAAGAAAGAAAAGAAAAAGAGTGGTTACAAAATAAAAGCTCTCTACTATGGAAGGCTCCAGAGTAATTTCTCTATTAGCATGGGTCTGTTAACACATGCACACATGTGGACCCCTGTGTTTATAAAGCTGTGAGTCTTTGCGATTCTGGTCAAGGTATTATTCCTCCCCCTCTCAGGGGTTAATTTATGGTATGGATCTGACAGGAGGACCTGGCAAGTTCACGTTTTATATTTTTGCTTCCTATTTGGGGGCCCTGTTTCAGGAGGCTGTGAACCCTTTAGGAGGTCTGGCCTATCACTAGAGGTGAGCTTTGGAGCTTACAGTCCAGTCCATGGCTCCCATGTGTCCTCAGCCTTCTATCTGCAATGATATGAGCAGCCATTCTCCAATATATTCTCCTGATGCTGAGACTTTCCCATCTTGACAGACTGAAACCCTCTGAAATTATGAGCCAAAATAAACATTTTATCTTTGTTTCTATCTGGCATTCCGGTCACAGCTGTGTGAAAGTAATTAATACAGGAATCTGATTCAATAATAAGTTACTGTGTTCATTTTTTTTTCTGTTCAGTAAATGTCCCACCTAAGGCACAAAAATGCTTCCTCATGTACAAACAGAATTAAATGCATGATAAACAAACAGCTTACCAAAGTTCCAGCCTAGGTGGTGAGGGACCAGTAGTTCCTTAGAAAGTTCCTGGAAAGGGAGCTGGCAGCCTTTGTTCAAGCTGTACCTTGTCCATAGACAATAAAGTTAGGAAGATAGGCAGGCAGCATCTGGCAGGGCCTGCTGTCGCACTGTCTGCACCATGGTGCTCTTGGAGACTGCAGCTACAGCCACTGGGGCTCATCTCAGTATGGGGTCCCTGAGTGCTAAAACTCCAGCTATTTCTCTGCCTTTCTTGGGACCAGCACCAGAATGTGTTCCACACAGGATACACAGAACAAGGCATCTGCTTAAACCATAAGCCAAAGTCTGAAATACACTTCATCTCCCCTGTCGGATCCAAACACAAAGCAGCTTCTAGCCTACGAAAAAGGAAATGACTTCACCACATCTGGAACACCTGTCCTCTAGGACACCGACAAGCTCTGCAGAGGGATGATGGCTTCAGTAGGGAAGAGAGGCTTACCAGCTGCACCATCGTCAAAAACTCAGTGAAGACATCACTCCTCCTTACATGAGGGTCTGCAGTGACTAAAAAATATGAAAAAGCAAATCACATAGTGAGCACAAGCTACGTGAGATCTGCTAATTGCTGTCTGAGATCTTGCCCTAGCCATGTGGCCTTCCAGAATGTAAGGGAGAGTTCTCAGTACAGGACAACGCACAGAGTCTGCTTCCTTGAGGTGCTGTTGGCAACATGAGTCTATCTTGCCAAATCCCAGGAGCCTCAGTTCACTCAAGCCACCTTATTACCATCTGGGATGATGATAAAACTACTACAAGAAGCGAAAATATAACACAAGTTGGGTCTAGATAGCCAATTCAGTAAGTCACTTAGTAATCTGAAAATTTTCAGTCTACCTGAGAGTGTTTCTTCATGTGAAAGAGTGTTTCATCAAGAGGGAACCCCAGAGAACCAACACTGGCTGGGATGTGGTTCTGGTAGAATGCTTACTTAGAGTGTGCAAGGCTCTGGGTTCAGTCTCCATTCTCTCTCTCTCTGTGTGTGTGGTGTATATATGACAAGGCAGAGGTTGCAGAGATGACTCAGTAGATAAGAACCCTTGTTGCTCTTGTAGTTCAGTTCCACACAGTGTCTCACAACCATACACAACTCTAGTTACAGGAGATCTGATACCCGCTTCTGACCTCCAAAGGCACTAGGCATGCACATGGTGCACATACATACAAATAAGACAAAAAAATGCACACACATGGAATAAAAATAAATCTGAAAATAATGTAAGCTACAAGCAGCCAAAGAGGTTCTGTTTATTTATTCATTTCAAGACAGGGTTTCTCTGTAGCCCTGGCTGTCCTGGAACTCCATCTGTAAACCTGATTGGCCTGGAACTCAGAGATAACCTGCCTCTGCCTCCCAAGTGCTGGAATTACAGGCATGCACCACCACCCAACCAGCAGCCAGAGAGATGTAAAGTATCTCATTCCTTCCTCCCCTTAGTAGACAGCAAGAGCCATATGGGGCCAGAGCAGAGCCAAAGCAGGCTGAATCCTAAGTCCCCAAAGGACCAGCCTGCTTCCTTCAGGCCATCTCCTGCACCTACCTGAGCTAAATTTGCACACTTGTACATATCTCTAAAATTCCTTCTTTTTTCCTGTTTTCTTTGTGTTGTTCATTTTACCAGAGAGCATTGAAATCAGCACAGAGCTGAACTGATCCAAGAAGGCCATGTGTTCCATGCAAGCTAAAGGAGGCAGAGTAGATAACACACACACACACACACAAAAAGTGTGTGTGTGTGTGTGTGTGTGTGTGTGTGTGTGTGTGTGTGTGTGCATATGCACACTTGAAAGCATTGTTGCATGTGACTGCATATGTTGTATATGTGTATTCTGGTACATGCCCTCACATGTGCGTTTGCAGAGGCCAGAGGAAAATATTTGGGTATTGTCCTGGTTAGCATTAACTGTCAGTCAATGTGATAGCAGAGCTTCATTAAGGAATTATCTAGATCAGTTTGGTCTGTGGGTGTAAGGTGATGTCTTGGTTGATAATCGATGGAGGAGGACCTAGAGCACTGTAGGTGGCACCAACCCTGGGCTGTATGGGTGTGTGAGTGAGCCAGCAAGCAGCATTGCTCCATGAGTTCTGCTTCAAGTTCTTGCCCTGACTTCCAGAAATGATGGACTATTTAGAAGTAAAAGCAAAAATAACACTGTTCTGCCATAGGTCACTTTGTTCAGTGTATTTTACTATGGCAGCAGAATAAAAGCAGGGCAGATGTCCTGCTCTATTATTCCCCACTTTATTGACCCGAGACAGATTCTCAATGAACCTAGGGCTCACTGTTTTCAGCTAGGCCTGCCTCCAGCAAGCCCACATTCCTCCTGTCTCCACCCTCTAGGGGTTGAGTCTACCAGCACACAGCCACAAACAGCTTCCATATGGGTGCTGGGATCTGAACTTCAGTCCTCATTCTTACATGGCTCTTATCAACTAGACTCTCACTCCAGCCTCAAAAAACTATTTATAGAAGGTATTACTATTCTGCCATGACAGTATGTGCTGGCAATCTCTGAGTTGGAAGGCAGAAGCTGCAGGATCATAGTTTCATGTCAGCATAGGCTAAATAGCAAGAACTTATATCAGAAACAAAATGAACAAAACAGAGCTCGTTAAGAGCACTGTCTACTCTTCCAGAAGTCCTGATTGGGATCTGATGACCTCTTCTGTCTTTCAGTCTTATGAAACAAACAAATCCTGAGTGACAGTATGGTGTAGAAACAAACTAATTTTATATTCCTTAGCACATGTTCTTGGGGAGAGGAAAAGCTGTTGAAAAGCAAATTCTCCAACCAGTCCTTACTACATGACTATTAAGCACCAGGTGCAAGCCAGCTAAGATCCTTGAATTTAATCTCCATGATGCACCATGGAGCTACTGTGGCCTCCATTTCACAGAGTCAGGGAGCATTCAGAGTCAGGGAATGTAAGTGTCTTGTCTAAGGTCACAGCAAAACTGGAATTTGAGTCCAGGTCTAACTTTTAAGTCTAAACTTTTGAATTATGACACTGAGCTGCACTGTGTATTCCCTTGACAGTGTCAGTTTCACAGGTATCACAGCAGCTCTTCAGGCATCCAGGGTGCCACCAAATGACTCTGACAAGGACCAAGGTGCCAGGCCAGAATGGTTAGTCAGCACGTGCTTATGCTGTGCCCAAGGTGCTTCCTGCATACAGGGTTCAGCTCATCCCATCACTTTGTCTTCATTCTTCAGTTAAACCAGCATACAACACTCCAGGGTAAATCTTAAATTACTTTAAAAACTCAATATGAAGAACACCATTGTAAAAAACCACAAGCACAGGAAATGCTCAGAGCCTAGAAAGAGAAACTAGAGTAGTGGTTTCCTGGGCCCAGTAGGAGGAGTCTGAAATGGGACATCACTGCCAATGCACATAAAGTCTCCAGTTGGGATGATGATAAAATCCTAAAACTAGATTATGGTGATGGTTTGCACAATTACATAACTATGTTAAAAGCCATCATATATGGACTTTAAAACAGACAGTTTCTGTGACGAGGAACTTACATTGCAATAAAACTATAAACAGAGTTCAATTGCATACCATTTTGCAGGTAGCGTTCCAACTGGTCCCTCCTCTCCTCGGCCATAGCAGTAGTCATAGCCAGATAGTACTTCGGTGGGAAAGGAGGTAAGCAGTCTCCAAACACCCGTCTCAGCTGAAAGGTCCCAAAACACAAAGTGAGACACTAACTCAAGGTTGATGAGACACCAAAGCCTTGTCCTAGAGCACTTTATTTAGAAGGAAAGATAAAATGAACCTTTTTTGATGGGCAAAGGGAGGGAAAGAGGGTTCAGTTGTCTTTAGGAAGAATATTTCAGTGGACATTCCACAGATGCCCTGCAATACCACAGACCACTAATTGCATTCTTACTCTGGTGATGCTGGGGTAGGTTTTTATAAGACTGCCGCTCATAACACACATTTCCTTAAATTCATATCTTTCATATCTGAAAGATCAGAGATTATAGTCAGGTTTTTATTTATTTATTTTTGATTGGTCTAATTTTGTAGCCCTGGCTGTTCTGAAACTCACTATGTAGACCAGGCTGGCCTCAAATTCACAGAGATCCTGCCTCCCTTCTAAGTCAGATTAAAGGTGTGCACCATCATTCTTGGTTCTTTTTACTCTAATTAATGTGGCCAACTAAACTTAAATATGTACCTTTCCTGTCATTTCTATAGGGTGGTGCTACTTACGGAAGTCCTGTAAGGCTGGTGTAAAGTCCAATAGAATCCCAGGCAGGCCCTTCTTCCTACCCACCGTACAGACTCCAAGATAATGGTGGCAGTCAGTTTCTGTTTGAAGATTTATTTACCTGTTATGCATACAATTTTCTGTCTGCATGTACACCTACATGCCAGAAGAGGACACCAGTTGTGAGCTACCATGTGGTTGTTGGGAATTGAACTCAGGACCTCTGAAAGAGCAGCCAGTGCTCTTAACCTCTGAGCCATCTCTCCAGCCTCATAAGCTTATTTATTTATTTGTTTGTTTATTTGTTTATTTTGTGAGACAGGGTTTCTCTGTGTAGCCTTGGCTGTCCTAGACTCACTTTGTAGACTAAGCTGGCCTCAAGCTCACAGAGATCTGCCTGCCTCTGCCTCCCAGAGTGCTGGGATTACAGGCATGCACCAACACACCTGGCTAGTGGCAGTTATTTTTATGAAAGATACATAAAAAGAACTTAGGGGCTGGAGGGATGGTACGTACATTAAGAATGCTCAACTGCTCTTACAGAGGACTCAGATTTCATTCCCACAACCATGTCAGGCAGCTCACATCCGCCTGGAACTCCAGCTCCAAGAGGATCTGATGCCGCTGGCCTCTGTGGGCACCTCCATCCACATGGATGGGGACACACACACTAATACTTGTTATTTTAGTAAAGGAAACAAGTTCAAGCCCTAGTCCGGTGCTAACATTGCACCTGGGAGGCAGAGGGGCTGAAATCTGACTGTTACCAGAACCTTTGGCTTAAAGACAGTGAAACCAGCTACATGAGAAAGGAGACTGCAAACAGACAAGATCTTAAATTTTCATTTAATTTTAGTTGCCTTTGCCATAATTACAGTGTGTACCTGGAAATTCACATGGTCCCTAACTTCAAAACACATGGAGAGTCTGATTACCTCTCTCCACCCTATGCCACTGAGCTGGTGCCATCTACTGGCTGCTGTCTCCTGGATTAGCACAGCAGCCTTCTAAGCAGTCTGTCTGCTTCTGCAAATGACAGACTCTATTTCTAACACAGCAACTCAGGTAGTACTTCAAAAATGTAAGTGGAATCATTGCACTGCCTTGATCAAAATCCTCTGTGGCATCTCACCCACCCAAGTCAAAGGAAAAAATTTTTCAATGGTCTAGAACCATAAAGCCTGTATGAATGCAATTAACTATCTGTAAGTAAATTTACACTTAAATTACTTAAATGAGATACAGTATTAAAATCAGTTTCTAAGTCATACTATCCATATTCCACATATTGACGGACATGTGCTAAGCTGCTATTGGCCAGAGCAGGTATACAGCCTCTCTATTGGCACAGAAGTTTCTACTGGCCAAATGTTGGTCTGAATACAGAAAGGTTATTAACTGTCTATGAACAAATTATGGCTTCCTGCTGCTTATTGCTTGGCTGTTGTTCAATTCTTAGAGAAACCATATTTTATGCCACCATTTATTCTTGTGATTCAAAATTTAAAAACATATCCTACAGAGAATACAAAATATTATAGAAGACAGTTTGGTAATTTCTTACAGTGTTAAGCATAGTCTTACTATAGAATCCAGCAATCACACTTGCAACAATTTACTGAACTAATTTGAAGACTATGTCCACACAAAACTGCATGTGCTCACCTATTAAGGGCACTTGCTGCTCTTCCAGAACACTGAGTTCATTTTCTGGCACTACATCAGGCAGTTCACAACTTCCTGTAAGTCAAGCAGCAGGGGTTCTGATAGCCTCTCCTGGCCTCCAAGGACACCTGCACACACATCTCACATACAAGAGTGTGTGTGTGTGTGTGTGTGTGTGTGTGTGTGTGTGTGTGCATGCTCTCTCTCTCACACACACAAATAAAATAAGTCTTTAAAACTGTGCTTGTAACAAGGATGTGGTGCATGTCTTTAATCCCAGCACTCGGGAGGCAGTGGCAGGCAGATGTCTGAGTTCGAGGCCAGCCTGGTCTACAGAGTGAGCTCCAGTATAGCCAGGACTACACAGAGAAACCCTGTCTAGAAAAACAAAAGACAAACAAACAAAACCCCCAAATCTGTTTGTTTATGGCAGTTTTATCTGTAACCCTGAAAAGATGACCTCCAAAATATGAATGGATAAACAGTGATCCATTCTTGCAATAGAATATTGTTCATCCATGAAAAGAAATAAACTATCTAGCCACAAAAAGATAAAAATGAACCTTCAATGCATGTTGCTAAATGAAAGAAGCCAGTCTGAAAAAGCTACTCCATGATTTCAATTATATGACCATCTAAAATATAAATATAGTAAAAAGATCATTTCTCACCAGGGCTGTGGGACAGGAGAGTACTGAATAGGTAAATAGGCCTTTTAGGGTCCAAATCTACCTGTGCCAGCATACACTGAGGAGCACGATGCTCTACATCTGTCCGTGTGTGCTAAACTTTACAGCACAGTCTTGACATATTCAAATATTTAAAAAGTAGTCTGGAGGATTTCAGGATGGAGTGCAGAGTGTGATAGAAGACCAACTGCATTGTGTGGGAAAGCATACCACACCACCTCACTGTAAGGAGTGAGGGGAAAGCAGCGACCTAAGAAAGGATAGAAATGTGTGAAGTCCACAAGAAGAATGCACAAAAGCTGTGCTGTTGGTGACATTGTGTTTTCATGGGCGTGTGAGTTAATTCTCACGCTACTGTATAGTATACAGACTCGAGTAATGAAGTAAATGAGTGACAGGCTGTTGGGTCAGATTTCCCTTTGCTGCAGTGAATTTATAGGTAGGAGTAGGGGGCTAGAAGGTCCCATGTAAATGCTTTACTGTGAACTCCTGCTTAGTGTAATAAAAATACAGACTGTTTATGGGGGATACAAAGTGAACAAACTCTAATTAATTTAAAAACTAAAAAATAAAAAAATACAGTCTGTGTGTGATTAGATGTTCAATGTCTCCCGTTGGCACCTATGTTTGAGTACTTGATCCCCAGCTGGTGGTAATTTTTAAGAGGTCATTTGGGATATAGGGTCCAGCCATCAGCAATAAGTCACTAGGAATGGGTACTGAAGGTTAGACACTGTGGCTCAGGTCTGAGAACACTCATGTGACAGGTTTCTGCTGCATGTTCCTGTCACTATGAATGCTGCCACACTGTGATGGACCATGCCCTATGAAACCATGAGCCAAAACAAGCTCTTCCACGTTTAAGTTGTTTCTGTCAGAACTTTCATCCAGCAGTAAGAAAAGGAGCCAATACAAATGGAATCTCCTAGAAATCTGCAGAGGTAAGTCTGGGTTGCTGTGCATGGTGTGTACTCCCTAGCTCTGCCTAGAAGCATCACTATGGGAGCAGGGAGCACACCTACTCTCAGATATTGGTGTTATTCCTCAAAGAAAGTCACCACAGCTCCATGGAGAAATTACTCATTTTAAGTCAAAGCCTGGAGCATCTTGGAGCCCCAGAAAGTATGGAAGTATTTGATAGCTGAATGTAGAAGAGACATGGGAGCCAAATGAAGCACTCTTGTGGCCAAAGCTCAGATCAATAAAACAAAGCAGCATCGATATATAATCCAATGCATAAATCCCATAATTGGAGACCTAAGTAAATCACTGGATAAATGAATAGAAGAGAACAGGCCAGTCTCTTACATAAAGAATTCTAGATCATTTACGTGAACAGGGAACATAAATCCCCATTCCTTAAGGATGAGTTGTGCACAGTGATATCCTTCCAAAGAGTTCTCAAAAGAGGTGGAGAGGGGCCACTTTGCTCTAGGAAAACCAGATAGATGCCTCCTCAGCCAATAGACAGGCGAAATTAACAATGAGTGGCTACACTCATTGTAGTGTAGCTACAATGTAGCGTAGTGTAGTGTAGCTACACTCGTGGCACACATATGAGTCAATGTGGAAAACAAAGATTCCAAATAGAGGGACATCCACAGAAGATCTGACCAGTCCCCTCTAAAATGCAGGGACATGAAAAACATGGAAGGTCTGAGAGAACTGTCGTCGCCAGAGAGCTACAGGAGACATGATCATGAAGTGGAATGCTGCTGGGTCCTGAACAGAAATTGGATACTAGACAAAAACTAATCAAATCTGAATAAATTATGACTGTAGTTGGTAATAGGACAGTCTTGCTGACTGAGTCACTGTAACAACTGTGTACACTAAAGGTGCTGTGAACACAGAGGTCATGGGCTGGAGATAGGTGGCTCAGCAGTTAAGAGCACTGGCTATTCATCCAGAGGCCCTGAGTTTGATCCCAAACACCCACATGGTAGCTTACAATGTCTGTACTCCATTTCCAGAAGATCTGACACCCTCTTCTGAGCTCTGAGAGTACAGTACATATATGTAGGCAAAACACTCATATGCTTTTAAACATTTTTAAAAATAAATCTAAAATATTTTGAAGAAAAGAATGAAGGAAACTGAATGACTGGCATGTGGAAACTTGTATTTTTTTTATAAACTAAGACTATTACTACAAAAATTAAACTTATTTTAAAAAACAAAAATAGAAAAGCTGATGTTCTGTATTCTCTTGAGAAAATCAGAAGCTGTAGGGTCCATCCTCAGGGATCACATCTGCTTAGAGGCAGCATAATAGCTCCCATCATGCCCCATTGACTCTTGACTGCCTAACTCCTGCAAACACAGCTTTCATCCAGTCTTGTTATCTGATATTCTCATGGCAACCACGTTTCCTTTAAACCCAAGGAACTGTTCCTGCCATGCTAAAGACTCTAAAGGCCCTGTGCAGTGCTGTCAGCCAGGGCTCCTCCAACACAGGACACTCTGATCCTTCCAACTCTGCACGGTTAGAAGCAGACATTTGTTATTGTTGGGTGTGATCATTTCTCAGTCAGCTGATAGCTAACTAAGCAATGCCAGATGTGTGTCCATAACCATCACAGACAGTCCCTAAGTAGCTCTAGTCATAGCACCCTTAGAGAGCAGGTCTGCCTGAGCCATCTGCTGAACTGAACCTAGGGGAGCTCCTACCCTGAGGCCAGGAGGTGGGAAAAGTCAACTCGGTGAAGAACCTAGGGCCTGTCACAGAGTAGATACCTCCCAGCAGGTTTTACCACAAAGACGGGTTCCTCAAGAAATCTTTGACATTTCTGGTTGAATGCAGTTCTAAGGGGTGTGTGTGAGAAATATGCAGTGAGCTGAGTAAATTCTGCCAAAAGTCAACCACCATCTCTATGGTCCAATTCTGCCGGCACAGGCCTCTCACCAGTTTCAACAGGTTGCAGCCTCTGGCATCACATCAAAACCTCCATACAAGACATCAGAAGGGAGGCACAGCTTTTTCCAGCTCTGTTACCCAGCAAGGTGGTGGTGGCCATGGACTCTAATCCCAGCACTCAGGAGGCAGAGGCAGGCAGATCTCTGAGTTCAAGGCCAGCCTGGTCAGCAACAGAGTGAGTCCCAGGGTCAGCCAGGCTACACAGAGGAGCCCTGTTTCAAAACAACAATAAAAGAAAGAAAGAAAGAAAGAAAGAAAGAAAGAAAGAAAGAAAGAAAGGAAGGAAGGAAGGAAGGAAGGAAGGAAGGAAGGAAGGAAGGAGGAAGGAAGGAAGGAAGGAAGGAAGGAAGGAAGGAAGGAAGGAAGGAAGGAAGGAAGGATAAAAACTGGCAGAGAAGGATCTGGAAAAGCCATTCAACTTTTGCCAGACTTGGAGAGAACACACATTCATTCACATGCACACACATAGTCACACACTCTTACAGACACTCACATACACACACACACATTCTCACACATATTTACACACCAGGCTGAGGCTGTGGCTCAGATGATAGAGTGCTTGTCCAGCACATTTGAAGTGCTGGTTTTGATCTCCAGTATTTCGTAAAGCAGGTATAGTTCAAGATCATCCTCAGCTACATACTGAGTTCAAGGCCAGTGTAGGAAACAAACAACAAAAAAGAAAGAAGAAACACTCAAAAATCCCTGTCCCCCAACAAAACCCCATCAAGGTCTGGCAACTTAAGCTCTGCTGCTGAGCCCTGTTACTTTCTGCTGTGAACACTCTGGCCAGCCAGCTTTTTGTGACTTTAGATAAATATAACCAGTTTGACTGATGCCTACACCCCTTGCCATGGCTGCACAGGAAGCCATAGGAAGAATGTGACTTTGCAGCTGGTCAGTATTATCCTGTTCATGTTATAAGGCTGGCCTGATGTTGGAGATGTTGGTGTAGGAGATAGCTCTGGGATTGAAAGACAGTGCCTATAGTTTGAAGGTCAGAAGCCTGTAGCCAGCCCACCACCACCACCACCACCACCACACACCACACACCACAAACACACACACACACACACACACACCACCACAAACACACACACACACACACACACACACACACACACACACACACACACACACACACACAGTACAATGTTTTTCAGAGTCACAGAACCTAAGCCCTTGGGCACATTTTCCTCACCAGGCTCACCTGTTCATTCCAGCGGTGTAACTGGCTATAGCGTACCTTGCAGAAGAGGAACCCGTCCAGGTACACGGAGTACAACTAAAAGCACAGACACAGCCCAGGATTATCCAAGGTCAGGATGGGATGGAGGGAAGGGGAGAGAGGGCTCAAGGTCACCGAGCCCCAACCAGCCTGCCCCAGGCCCCAACCCACCACGTAGCAGCCCCCCAGCGCTTCTGGCAGCTGCTGGGACACCGGGATGCAGAAGTGCATCTTCATGGCTCTAGCAATGACCAGGGACAGCGTGGAGACCTGGACCTGTCGCCTAAAGTCTGTGCTAGGTCCTGAGCTCCAGTTCCTTGCCCTAGGTCTGTGGGTGGGCGGGGTCCAGCCCTTGGCCCCACCCTCTCCCAACCCCTCCACTGTCCTCAGCCTAGTTCCCAGGTGCCCTGATGGACTAGAAACGCAATCCAGGTACAGAGGGACCTGAGGCACGCCAAAGCCTCTCAAACCAGGGTTTCCCTGGAGGTCAGATACTAGAATTTTAAAGACTTTTAAGGAGGAAAGCGAGCTTCTGAGGCAGGGAATGAGAGCCTCGAATTCTTTTTCAGAGGGCTTCTTAACTCACAATAGTTAAGAATCGTGGCCTTAGCCACATGAACAGTTGCCAGAAAGTCACTGACCCACCGTACCCTGCCGCAAATCACCAAACCCAGGCAGCTTGCCGAGGGAAACAGAGCCTCTTCAAGGCGCCACTTCAGGGTCCAGGTCTAGTGTGTGTGGCTAATGTCCACTTCCAGAAAAGGCAAATGAGGTAGCATTCAGACCAGCCTCATACCGGAACTCCTGGCATTTTCTGCAGAGGGTGCTTTGATGATCTTGGAGTTTCTCATCACCCCAGCACTCACTACCGAAAGCATACTATGGATTATGATTAGACAGGGAAAAGGGGGGATACACCTTGAAAGTACCCTATGACCATCACAGTTATAGTAGGCTCAGGGTTTTGTTTTTCTTTTATTTTGTTATTGGTTTTGTCTTAACCTCGTTAAAATGTATCATGATATGCCACCCATTTATAGCACTGGCACTTGGTGTTTGTTGTTGTTTTGTTGTTGTTGTTGTTGTTGTTTACATCTTCTTTTTTCCTTAATAGAAAATAAAAAATGTGGACTTGGCCTGGGTCTCTCTTCCTGGGGAAGCCCTGCTCTTGACTAGATACCTTTCCCTGTAGCTGAGTTCGTATGAACTGTCACTGTTGATATAGATTAATATTAACTGTGAATATGGTTAAAATTAATTGTCAAGTTAGTGGCATCTAACACCATCTAGGAGCTAAACCTCCATGTACATCTTTAAGGGGTTGTCCGCTAACAGACTGGGTGGTGCCGTGGACTGGGGCCCCCGGAATGAGCACAATGAAAATCAGCACTGCTCCAGTGGCCTGGATGCTCTCTGCCCCTGACTGCAGGGAGATGAAGCAACTGGTCTGATATTCCAGCCAATGCCCTGAGACATCCTCTTCAAGGACCACGGTTGGAAAGCTGGAAAGATGGCTCAGTGTAAGAGCGTTGGCTGCTTTTTTAGAGAACTTAGATTCGATTCCCAGCACCCACATGGCAGCTCACAACTGTCTATAACTTTAGTTCCAGGAGACCTGATACATGCAGGTGAAACAACCATATAGACAAAATAATAAAATAATTTTTAAAAATCAAAAATAATCAAATTTGTATCATTACTTTTATAGGCATGCCTTTGGCACTTTTTAATTCTTTGAAAGTTGCATTTGCTTATTTTTATGTACATTCATTGGAATGTGTCAGGGTCACGAGACAATTTGCAGAAGTCTGTTCTTTCCTTATACCCTGTGAGTCCCAGACTCAGGTCGCCAGGTCCCTCTTGCCTCCCTTAGCACAAGCAAGTACTCATCTGCATTGTCATTGTGAATTAGTCCGCATTTCTGATATAAGTGGAATCATGCAGTATGTACTGCATACCCTAGCTCCCTCTGCACAGCACAGTCATTTTGAGTTCCTCTAGGTTTCATGCAGAGTTCATACTTCTTCTTATTTTCATTTACTTATTTTTGCGTAGTGGTGTTGCATTTCATAGTCGCCTCCTTTTTCATTGCTGAGAGTATTCTACTATGTATCTATGCCAAAAAGTGTTTATCTAGACCTATTGATATGCTTATTTGGATTGTACACAATATTGGGGCTTATGATTAATATTTTACAAATATGACTTTATGCTAAATGCTTCTTACAACTTTATGGATGAATACTACTTAATCTGTGATGAGACTGATTGCGCCTAAGTCTGTGGTAAGCTGGGTGGTAAGCAAGTTACACAGTAGTAGGTGGCTAATGCATTTAAAGTGTGTTTTCTAGCTTAACGAGATCACGTGTTAGAGTGCCACAATCCAGCAGCTAACTGTCCACAGCCTCAATGAGAGGGCTGGACCACAAGCTATGGTGGTCATGCTAACTGGCAAGTTGGAGGAATCTAAAGTCATCTGGGAGATGGGCCTCTAAGCATGCCTTAGAGGGTGTCATCTTGACCACGCTGATGAATTTGGGAAGACCTGCCCCCTCTGGGTGCTGCCATTTCCTAACTGGGCTATGGGGCTGTAGATGATATAGGAAGCAGCTCAGCACTGTTTCCTTAGTACAGATGTCAAGTGATGAGCTGCTTCATGCTCCTGCCATCTTGACTTTCCCGCCATGACCAACTGACCTGTCTCCTTTAAGTTGCTTTCCTCGAAGTATTTTTATCACAGCAAATGGTGGAAGGGAGCTAAAACACTGAGAAATTATCAATTTTTATATGTTCTACTTTTGCATCGTTGTAAATTTAAAAGAAAAAGTTAGGTCAAACTATTGTAAAATTATTGTAAAAATCTGCACCCAGCCAAGCCCATGACTGGAGGTGGGTGCTCTTCTGCCCCCTTCTGTGGAAGAGCTGAGATACTGTGCCATTCAGGCCTCTAAGAGGGACCTGCAGCCATCAAGAAGCAAAGGTTCAAACCCTTAGAGAAGGGTGGGAGAATCAAACTAGGTCAGTTGGCAAGGTGTGCATGACCGGGTAGGACAGGTCCACAGCCCCCACGTTCTGCCTGATGTCTTTCTTGTCTCTGTCCCTTCGGATATCTAGCTCTACTACACAGCATCCGGCTGCTGACAGTATTCCCTGGTGTGAGTTTGGCTTCTGTCCCAAAAACAGAAGATCAGAACACATTTGACCTAATTTTAAAAGTAATAATAAATGAAACATTTTGGCTTTTGCAAATAAATTTGTAAAAATCAGAAACAAGTGATTTTTAGTGACTAGCATTCACACTTGCAGGTTAGAAAGCAGAAACAAATATTTTCCCTTCATCGCGCAGTGGCAAATAGCCTGTGACTCCTTTCTGGGTCTTGGGGCTTTTGCAGAAGGCCTTTTTTGCTGCCGAGGTCACTACTTTGGTTTGGCTCCTCCTCCTGGGTTGAGAGGATGCTCCCAGGCTCCATCTGCTCCACATCACCCCGGGAAGCAGTAGGAGCAGCCCTCCTTGCCTGCAGACACCCCCGCAGGTAAGAGTTCCCATGAAGAGGATTTTGATTTTTCAACAGAAATGAGAGTCAGGGCTGGAGACAAGAGACTATATCATCAGCCATACCAGACTGCACTGAAAGTGAGGACAAGCATGGTACATCCCATCTGCTAAGGCTGGGCTACCATTCAGCTATGGCATTTTTAATTTGGGTTATATGTACATGAACTGGGTACAACTGGCCTTTCTACATTTTGGGGCAGGGAGTGGTAAAACAATGTGAAGGCTGGGCACTCCACGAGAAACCCAGAAGGTAGCCTGGCCTTCAGCCAAAAAGAGAGAGGTGATATATGTAGCAGATATGTACGGTGTATTTGGAATCTGGCCTGGGCTGTGGGACCCACGGTGGACCTGCCAGACATTGTCCCAACATCTACAGTCAGACAGAGCTGCTGAGTCTAGGGACAGGGAAATTCACCAAAGCAAGAGACACTTAACTCAGTACTGAAATGTGAGATAAGGTTAACTGAAAAAAAAAGAGTGTAAATGGTGAGAGGAGCCTTTTGGAGAAGCAGAGACAAGGTAGAGCTGAGCCTAACTTTGAGGAGGCTGAGGAAGGAGCATTAACTGCAGTTCCTGGCCAGACTAGGCACAGAGTGATACCCTGTGTCAAAAATAAATATGAAAATTGAAATACTATATAAGTTGCTTACTTGAGTTTCATTTTAAGAGTCATTAAATAAAGGCAGATTTCCAGTGTCAAGGTTATCAAGTTTAAGACCAGCCTGGATTGTATGAGATCCCATCTCAAAACAAAACCAAAACAAAGAATTATTCAATAAATTTGTCTTGGTTTTAAAGCATAATTTCCAACAATTTTTTCTGTAATAACCCAAAACATACTTCTTTCATATGTTTATATTAATTACTGTTCTCATTGTAGACAATCAAAATTCAAAAGATACTAATGATCTACATCTTACAGTATCAAATATTCAGCCAAGATTTAATTCTTCACAAAAAATAAGTACATCATAGTATACAAATTCACATTTGTCTTCAATAATGGAAAACTGTATGGATATTATATAATCATTTTAAAACATGTTTCTTATTATTTATTATCAGCAAATGTCTGATTTGTTTAACTATTTTATAAATCAGTATACTCGGGGGTTCCTAAAACCTTCAGATAAAAGGGGATCATGGAAGGAGAAAATTAAACCCTATACTGGATGATCTCTTAAATGCCCCTTCCCCACAAAATCCTGTATACTTTTGTACTTATCAAGATATTCTAATTATAAAAATAAGGGTGTAATCCCCTTGGGAGTACCCTAGCAGTCACTGCAAATGTTACAAGGTGGCAGAAGAAAGGGGGACCTACGGAGAAAGTAACTGACTTAGTTAGACTCTGTGCTAAGCTTGAGCCCACTCTAAGTGGTGTGTTTTTTACTGTCTCATATGTAAAGAGCAAGGGGGTTAAGTAACATACACAAAGATGCACAAACCATGAGGCTCAGAGCCCAGATTGAAATATGAAATAGTATTTGCTTTGTGTGTTGACCTCTGGTCAACTCCCGCAGCCCAGCTTAGTGCAGCAACTGCAGGGATGGCCCTCATGCTAGGTGGCTATCCTGTAGACTGATCTGATTTGACCTAATTTGATGAGAGGAGTCTTCAGAATACCATAGGAAAGAGACATGAGCTAGAAACCCACTGGGGACAGAAGGATGAGCTCAGT